ATTAATACAGAGGATCAGTTTCTTTAGTATTAAATTATCATGCTATCAGTCACTTACCAAGGGTCTTTTGCAGGTAAGGGTTCTCTCCACCTTAGATAAGAAAGGTTATCTTAGTCTCAGGTAGAGAATCTCAGACCTTAAGAGGCATTCCTGCTCAAGGGGAGAGACATCTGGCATGTAGTCCAGTTTTAATTCAGGGAGAACTCAAACTGGACTCATTTAAATTTGATCACTGGTAAAAGGTCTCTCTTCCTTGGGGAGCAATTTTGAGGGGAGTCTCAGCTCAAGGGGAGATCACCACCACACAGCCAGATTGCCTAGCAGGGAAAGCACAACGGCAGCTCACTTAGGCTGTCAAATTTATGGAAAAAAGTGGTTGGGTCCTTGTCAAGTTGCATGCAACAGTGAGGTATGTATGAGGCACCTTGTACCCACAGCTTTCTAGCCTTGAGTCTTGGAAAAAAACACCTGCTATTTATGTGTTAGTCACATGATTGATGTTCCAAGCTCATATGCACTGATCCTCAGTGTCACTGTTGGTTTGTGGGTTTCCTGGAGGAGTTCATGGCCCAGCTACTGCTCAGGCCCTTACCTCCTCTGAAGCTTGTATCAAACTACTGCTAGTACTTTGGTTAAGGGGTTCACATCTGTGCCATCATCCTCTTGCAGAGAAGAGTATGGGTTTCGATGTTCACATCTATATTTAAAAAAAGCTGACTGTGCTTAGAACGCCACTTTTCAGTATTTCCAGTGCTAGTGAAGAGTACTGTGTGTTCCTGTACATATAACTAAGGGTCATTTATTCGGCAATTTTGAGTCTTTTATGTCTAGTCCAACTTATCATGGACTCTACTCTTTATAAAGTCCTTGTACTTCCAAGGACATTTCTGGTTCATTTGCTGAACAGAATAGCCAAGGGTGGTCTCATTGTGTCTTTCATACTTAAACTGCTTTATGCGTTAAGTATTTCATATTATTGTGTATCTACACCAAAAGTTCTTAGATGTATTTATGGGTGGGAAGAGTTTAGATTTTACAAATTTTCCTTTGGTCATTGTAAAGTCTGACCAAATACTTGTTGAGTAGGCCAAAACCCTTTGCAGACAGGCTGGTTGTTTCCTTCCTCCTGCCTTCCTCATGGACATCATTTTATTAAGGATCTTACTAATGGGAGAAAGCTCAAACTAGGACAAGAAAGCAAGAAAGTTATCCTGCAGACAATATGCAGACAGTATGAGCTGTATACCTGCAGGGTATAAATATTTCTCACTCAGTTTCCAGGTGATATATTTATTTATGCATGAGTAAAAAAAAGGAAAAGAACATTTTCTGTATTATTTTTAAAGCTCTCTCAAAAATATACATATTGATGTGCATATTGATCCATAGCATTGCTAATGCTACAACTAAAATTAATTTATAGCTAGATCAGGTTCTGTTTATATTTATGACAAGTTGAGGTGAGTTGACCCTGACTGGCCACCAGGTGCCCACTAAGCTGCTTTATCATTCCCCTCCTCAGCAGGAGGGGGCAGGGAGAAAATGAAATGAAAACTTTTCTAGCTACCAGTACAAAGCACAGCTGAGAGGGCTGATATGGGGAAAATTAACTCTATCCTAGCCAGACTCAATATAGATGTTAATGAATTTGTTATTATTTACCAACTACATCCATTATATTTAAAAATATGTTCATATTCTTTATGAAAGTGGCTTTTTTCATTTTGCAAATTTGAGCAATTTAATTGTTTCATTCTAAGAAGCAGGATAATTTGATGGACAACTTTGTGCTTTAACAGTAAATATATGGAGTGAGGTTTCTGGTAGGAAAGCTCGCAGAATGAAAATCTCATGTAAATTTTTCATTAGCACTCTGCCATTGAATCTCACTCAAAAGCTCACAGACAATGTAAGGCTTATAAACATGATTTGAGAATATTCATTTTAATGTCAGTGACATTTTCAAGAAAAAGTAGGCTGAAGCGAAGTACTTACTACCATGAAGCTGAGGACTCCAGCGATTAACAGGCTATCTTAGTATTTATGGAAAATGGATTGGGTTTTTCCACATGGTTTGTCAGAGGCTTAGTATTCCTCTTTATATTAAAGTGGAATGATGCAGGGACTGGAAGTCATTAAAGTACAGAAATAGGAACCAAATAAGTCTCTCAGATCAGGATTAATAACATTAGTGTTACATGATAACTCTCTTTTCCCTTTTCTCCTTTTTTCCCTTTTCTCCTTCTCTTTTCTTGCAAAGGAGCAGACAACCCCCTCCCCCTAAAACAGCAGCAATCTGCATTTTAATTTTAACACACAATAGGACACGGATAATGCTGTTTCAGTCATAAATCCATATGGGGTTGGCTCTGGTGAGTAGCTTTTTTGCTAATGACATCAAAACAGTTACTATGCAGTGACCTTTAAAGAAGAAAACTGACATTTTTAATCTTATAGATATTTATATTTAACCAGTTTGAGTACTCTCAGGCTAAATATTCTCTGTCCCATTATGTTAAACACAGGATAATTACTGTTTGATGTATTGAGACAGTGGAAGAAAGAATGTGTGGGATTAACTTCAGTAAGTGTGTTTTATTTCTGTATGGTTGGTTGGGTTTTACAATTATTTATAATAAATTTGCATCATGCCAGAAAATTGAAAACATTCTTTAGTTACATTATGGAATGTGTAGGAGTATGCATAATTCAGATGGGCTAAGCCACTAAACATTGCCCAAATTGCTTGTGAAATATGACAGGAAAGATGTCTAGGGGAAATGTAGACAGTCATATGAAAGGTTAATTTTGTGTGCTACTGAAATTGCATTCAGAATCTCTAGGTTCACTAGTAGTGCACACATTATACAACTCAACTCCAAATGATAACAATCATGTTGGTTGCTTGTTTACACTTCATCAATAAATGCACTTACAATACCTCTGTTACAGAATTTTTTGCAAGGATTACCATGTAGTTACTGTTCTGCTAAGACTTTACAAAATGTTTCCTTTAAATTTCTTTCACAATTTTAAGATGCTTAAAACAATCTAAAATTTCTATGTTTGGCAGGATAATAAAAAGATATATTAAAGTACATCCTTGTTTTTCAGTTCTAAATAAAATATAGCTAATAAATTTAAAAAAAATCAAATGCATTTTTTCCCCTTTGCCAAGTGCAATGCAATTCTAGTCTTTCTTTTTAAAATACACTTTTCCCATTATTTTATTTTATTTTATTTTATTTTATTTTACTTTTTAAGTAATTTCAGCTTTTTTTAGTCTTCAAAAATAGGAACAGCTGTACCACTTACTTTTGCAAATTGTCTTGTCTTCTTGCTTATGAGTGATGCTTTCTTTAGTATGGCTAGAAACATCATAAAGATTAGCTTCTGTATACATGAACCATTTCTTTTCACTAGACTGAGTTCATAGTCATAAAGTCTGCTGCACTGTCTGTCCATGAGCAGATGGATTCCATTGTAGTCACAGTCAATAGTTATTTTTTTCTACTGCTAAAGTAATTTAATTGGTAATTCTTTTCCTGGGACACTGAAATTTGAGACCAATTTATAACTTGGAGGCCTTTTTTTATAAAAAAATTTTATATAAGTAACAGTTTGAGACTATGTCTATGAGTGGTCTAATGATGTGTAAAGAGACTTGTTATGATTTTGTTAAAGTATTTAGGTAATAAATGCCTATTTAGAGGGGAAAAAAAAGTGGGTTTGAGTTGTAAAATTAATTTATTCTTTTTAAAATGCAAAATGTTGTCATAATAGGAATGAAGGAATCCATATCTAAATATCCAATTTATGAATGACTTTTCAAATGGGAATTCAAGAATTTATCAGGTTGCTTAACTGTATTTTTTAAAATTTTATGTTATTTTATGTCCATGTTCATGAGTTCTTAAGCTTGAGAAAAGCAGAATTCTATCTAAGTAATATTTTTGAATTTTGTGGGCAGGTAGATATTTTTGTATTGGGTTTTTATGATGTTGCCAATACCTTGGGAGTATTCAAATCAGTTAATATGTAAAAATACATGAAAGTACACTAAGTACATGTTTAAATGCAATTTATATTTTAGTGTTGTTAAAAACTTTTTTAATAAGAAGTGCATTAAAAATGTCACCGCAACACCTGCCTTTTCTTATTAAAAATGTACTTGGTGGTCAAGAACAAGCACATATGAAAGGGTGTTTGCACATTGATTTTGTCTCTCACAGAAGCTAGAGCTGCCTCACCACCATCACAGTGAAGGGTATCCTGTCCCTGTGCTGTTCAACACTTTAACAATTATCTGAATGAGGGGATCGAGTGCCCCCTCAATAGGTTTGCTGGTGACACCAGGCTGGGTGTGAGTGTTGATCTGCCAGAGGGAAAGAAGGCTCTGCAGAGGGATCTGGACAGGCTGGATTGATGGTCCAAGGGCAACTGTGTGAGGTTCAACAAGGTGAAGTTCTGGGTCCTGCACTCGAGACACAACAACTCCATGCATAGCTACAGGCTGGGGGCAGTGAGGGAAAGCTGCTCAGAGGAAAAAGACCTGGGGGTGTTGGTCAACAGTAGCTGAACATGAGCCAGCAGTGAGCCCAGGTAGCCAAGAAGGCCAATGGCAAAAGACGTGTAGATGTTGCACTTACGGACATGGTGTCGTGGTTTTGACACTGGCCAAACACCAGGCACCCATGAAAGCCGTTCTCTCACACTCTCCTGCTACAATTGAGCTGAGGAGAGAGGAAAGAAAAAAGTAAAGGGCTAATAAGTTGAGATAAAGACTGAGAGAAAACACTGTAAAGGCAAAATAGGTTCAAATTTAAAAGTATAAGGTAAATTTATTATTAACAGAGTCAGAAGATGCTAATGAGAAGTAAAATAAGCCTTTACTGCACCTGTTTTTTGTCCCCAGCCCCTCCCTTTTTCTCACCAACAGCAGAGGGAGACAAAGGCATGGGGGTTTTGGTCAGTTCATCACCCGAGATATTTTTGTTTTCGCTCAGAGAGAGGAGAGTTTCCTCTATTATGCCATGGGGTCCCTCCCACCTGACACAGTTCTCTGTGAACTCTCCAGTGTAGCTCCACTCCCACAAACAACAGACCAGCCAAAACTGCTGAAAAATGAGTCCCTCCCACAGACAAAAAATAGGCTATGCCAAATCAACTCACATGGTTTAGTGGTGGATCTGGCAGAGTTAAGTCAAAGGTTGGACTTGATGATCTTAAGAGTTCTTTTCCAATCTTAATAATCCTATTCTAATAATGTCTTCCTAATATCTAATCTAAACCTATCCTCTTTCAGTTTAAAGCCATTACTCCTTGTCCCATTACTACATGCCCTTGAAAAAAAAATCCTACTCTGTTTTCTTGTGGGCTTTAAGTACTGAATAGCTGCTCTAAGGTTTCTCTGGACCTTTCTCTTCTCCAGACTCAACAAATCTGTCTTCATAGGAGAAGTACTCCAGCTCTCTGATCATCTTTGTGACCCTCCTCTGTATTTGTACCAGCAGGTCAATATCTTTCTTGTGCTGGGGAATCACAGACCTGGATGCAGTACTCCAGGTGGGGTCTCAGGAGAGAATAGAAGAGGGCAGAATTACCCACCAGCCAGCTGCTGGCCAGGTCATTTGATGCAGCCCGGGATAAGGTTGACTTTCTGGGTTTCAAGCACCTTTTGCTGGGTCATGTTGAGTTTCTCACTGTGCAGCCCCCAAAGTCCTTCTCCCCAGGGCTGTTCTCAGCCCATTCTCTGTCCAGCTTGCATTTGTGATCAGGATATTACTCCAACCAGGTGCAGGACCTTGCACATCCCTTCCCTTCACTGTGTTAACCACACCACACAGTTTGGCGTGTGCTCAATACCACTGTTCATGTTTCCAACAAAGATATTAAACAGTGTTAGTCCCAACAGCAACTCCCGAAGAACACGACTCATCTTTCGCTGGACTCTATTCGGATATGAATCTGTTGATCACAACTCTTTGAGTGTGACCATTCCTTATCCACCAAGTGGTCTATCCATGAAATCCATGTCTCTCCCATTTAGAGACAAGGATATTATGTGAGACAATATGCCTTGTAGAAATCCAGGTAGATGGCATCACTTGCTCTTCCATCATCCACCAATATGGTAACTCCATAATAGAAAGCCACAAAATTCGACAGGCACAATTTTTCTTTGTGCCATGTTTACCGATCACCTATTACTTCAGAAAGACTTCAGAACTTGTGGTAAGTTCTAAATAAAACTGAGACTTTTTTGTATGTATTTTTTCTTAGAGCTCAAGCTTGAGAGGTCAACAACCATTTGGAATGGAAGCAATGGAATAGAAATTTTAGTATTTACAAAGGGGCAAAATATATTAAAAATGTTAGATTAAAAGTTTCTTTAAAGGTAAGCTGGGACTGCTACACATACCTTATTCAATTTACTTGCAGTATTTATCATTAATGAGAACCTGAACTGTTCATTTTATTGAATCTGAATCAGCATTTTAACTGACAGGTTTTAAGACCATCTTATTCATGAATGTCATGGTTATCTCAACCCTCCATGTCTCCTACCAATGGGATAGAGGAGAGAAACATGAAAGAAAAGGAATGAAAACATAATATAAATTGTGGGGTGAAATAAGAACAGTTTAATAATTGAAACAAAGCGAAAGATAATAATAAAACCAAAACTTTTACTACTAATAATAATTGTAATTAAAAGACACAGAGAGAGAGAAGGAGTGAGAGAAAACCTCAGAAAGACAACAGATGCACAAAACAAGTGCTCACCACCCTCTGACATACCCAGTCTGGCCCCAAGCTACAATCATCCTCCCTTTCAGGTAATTCCCCCTCATTGATATATTGAGCATGATCTCTGGTGTAGAATATCCCTTTGGCCAGTTTGGGTCAGCTGTCCCAGCTGTGCTCCCTCACAGCTTTTTGTGCAGATCCTCCCTGACAGAGCATGAGATATTAAAAAGTCCTTGACTTTGGGTAAGCACTAGTAGCAGCAACTAAAACATCAGTGTGTTGTCAACATTATTTTCATCCCAAATCCAAAACAGAGAGAAAAATGAACTCTATGCCAGCTAAAATCAGGACACTGATGTACTGATCTGTGTGTTTTATCTGTATTTACATTACCTTTTCTATGATGTGGTAAGAGTGGTTGGCCACTGCAGTAATCTCCACAGTTATCCTTTATGTAATGTCTCTCCTTGACCAGACAACTTGCTCTGCTCCAGTTTTATTGAAGTTATCTTCTAAAGGAATTTCATCTTCCTCTGCTCGATCTGATTGGCATAGCCAAGAAGTATGGTATAGTTCCCCTGGCTCTTGAAGAAAATGGGAGAATCCCAGTATTTCCATTTCAGCTATTCAGGATACGAAGTTTCATTGCAATATTCTATATACTTCTGATTCTGTTCTTCTCATATTTTCTAGTTTTATATTAGAATACTGCTGTCCAATTGCAATGAAACAACATTTAAACCTTCATGGTATTTGTTTAATAAGTATGAAAGCAAAAATGAATTCTTTTGACTGAAAGGTCACATTTTACCTTCCTGTTGAAATACAATGTTTTGTAAGTCAGACAAATATAAAGTTTCAGAAAATGTCTTTCTGTAATCTCGAAGTTTCATAAAGTTGTGCATTAACATTGTATGCGAATGCTACCTATACATGTCTAGAGACAGTGCCTTTGTTTTTTCACTATGCCTCCTTGAATGTTGGGGGTAAGGATTTTTTTGGGGTTACTGAAAACAAAAGCTTTGGAACAGAGGATAGTATGCACATGGTAAATGTAATTTAGAGGGGAGTAACTTTTTTGCAAGTGATTTTTGAATAATTTTTGAAGACTTTGGGTTAGCTTAAACTGCCTGAAAAATTGTTCTACAGAGAAAATTCTCTTACTCTTCTGTTTTGTTATTACCATATTCCACAGTTAAATAAAAACAGAGTGATTAATTCCTAGGTCCTATCTTGTCTTTTGAGACCAGTGACTACTGATGCGTTTCATGTTTTCACTATTAAGTCAAAATTCTGTAAACCAGAAGCTGAGAAAGCAGATTGTGGAGATCTTTCAGTGGCCTCAGCAGAGGAGATAAGCAATAGTAAAATAGTGATAAAACTTGTTTTTCTCTTTGTCATCTGTTTTAGGTACAATAAGCTTGACAATGTAAGCGAATTAAGGAAGCAATGGTCATATCTTTATACAAGAACAGTGTTTCCTATTGAAATGGATAGTTGTTGTGTCCTTAGAGATTTTCCCAGGCTTTCCCAGAAGACCTTCCTAGAACATCCTGAAAACTTTGGAGAAAATTTACAGAACTTCTGCATACAATAGATGGCACTGCCAGTCTCTGGAACGAGCCTGAACCTTAGGAAAGGCTCTCTGAGTTCTGGCCCTTTAGAATGGACTTGCACCCTTCCTTATTTGGAAAGTATGGGCTACTACCAGCCTGTACCTTCCCATCCACTTACTGACAGATTAGGTCTTTTTAGTGGCTTCTCTCTATAACCTCCTGTGGCATGTTCAGCTCTGCAAGAGCTGAAAGGATCAGGAAATTTGAACTAGGAGACAGAGAGAAAATTGAGAATTGGTGCTGCATTAATGTCAAATTAAGAAAATTAAGGCATAAAATCCTACAGCTCCTGAAATATAAACACCAGTAATATTCTTGCTGGTGTTGCCAAGCTAACGAACAAGTGTTAAAAAGTGACTCCTTCAGCATGTGTTTAAATGGTTGCAGAATTCTGCAATTCTAACTGCCCCAGGTTATCAGCTTTGTGCAGACACTTGCACATGTAACTCAGTCTACAAATATGTGATGCTTGCTAAACTACAGCTAATAAAATATATCCCCTGTATTCTATTCTTCCTGGTTCTTTAGTTACTTCATTAGCTTCCTAAAATTTAAATTTAATTTGAAACCTAATTTTAAAATGTTGGGTTTATTTTTTAAATATATATATTTTTAACAGCTTTTTATGTTAGTGTTTTTAAGTGTTGTTAATTTGAGATTTGTCAGGGAATAGACAAAATGTTTTCTGGACAGATAAGTTTGTTGACTTCTTATAAGTGTATCATGAACATACAGCTGTTATTCAAATATATCTAAAATCCTTTTTGGAAAATTCTGCTTTGGAAGCAGATCATAGCAAAAAAAACAAAAACAAAAACAAAAACAAAACAACTTTAAACGAAGAGGATATTTTCTGGCAATGCTATTCTGTGACAAGACAGAGTACTTCCTGGAATGAGTTGTTGATCGTTGTTTACAAGGGATTCTTTCCATCTCCAAAAGCAGATACTCAATTTTTAATGCCAGTTTTTAATTCCTGCTGTTAGTGCCTACATTTTGAGAGATAATTACATGGTGTGGAATTAGTATAGAAGTGTGTTTATAACACCAACCTTTTCATTGTTTTGAATAGTGTTAATTTATAATGAAAGATTTCTATGCAATGTCTGTTGATAGTTATAAGATACCTCTAAGATTTTTTTTTTCAGTTATTTTACAATCCCTCAAAATAGTTTGGGGAGGGACATAATGAATATTACCATGTAGGATTCCAATAAGACAAAGAATTCATGTAAGGGGGAATGATGTCAGTTGACTGAGAGATGCTCTAGGAACTCTGTTGTGCCGTCAATACTGAAAGGATATTGGTCAGGGATTCTTTCTTGCAATTTTCTTATATTTTATAAATGTTTCTACATCCCAAGACATCTTTCATATTTAAAGCATAAAAATAATCTTGCAACAAATTGGAAGCTTCATAAGTACACAGTCTTCTCCTACCCAATGAACTGGAGGTTAAAAGTTCTAGTGTGTAGAAACATTCCCAAATTATGGATGATTTTTGGGTTTGTAATTTATTTTTAATAAGCAATGTCATCATTGTATTTATTTTCCCAAGGAATCATTTGTGGCTTTGGGACTGTGGAATCTTCTTCTGCTCTATGTGATCCTAAATATTTATTTCTTCTATGTTAAGACTGCTTTTGCATGCTGCAAAAAGAGTCAGGGGGTTGCAAGTTGATGGGGTATGGCTGGAGATGGCAAA